GCATTCATCCAGCAGGTACGGTGTGCAGGGTTCCAGTAGCTGCTTCATCTGTACATCAGCTACTTCACTAGCTTTGGTCGATCCATTAGCAGTGATCAAACTGATGGTGTGAGGGGCCCTTCTAGGGTTCTCTGCACCAGCAGCATCCATGACCTTCCTGCTGAGGAGGTCTTGCTCGCTCCCTGAATCGACGAGCCATGAAAACCTGCCCTCTCTTGGTGCCGGACTTGCAACAATTGTCGGAATTGTAGTAGGACATGTTTTCAACTTGATCAAACTTCGGCAGGCACGACATGTGAGCGATGACTCGGTGCACAGAAAGCGACATGAGGGCACTGTTGCGCGATCGAAATTTCGAACAACTTCAGCCAACTGCCTAGCCTTTACTTTGGCCATGTTGGTTGTCTTTGGGTCGCTCTTGGGCGCACGATCGCTCGTGGCAAAATGCACACTGTACTTGCGCGATCGCTTGACCATCTTGCAGTGTTCCCCGCGAGCGGGGATAGTGCGAATTTCGGGCTTCATGATGAACGTAATCCTTCGGACGGACGACTTGGACCTTTTCCGCGCTGGTGGGAGACAGGGCTTCTTGAGACAGGATCGACCAGGCACTCCAGTTGCAAGACATGCGAACCGATTGCTCAGGCAAATGGCAGCGTTCTTAGGATCCCCTTTTGCTTTTCCTGGCTTTGGGGATTCCTTCCGTGGCTTCGTCTTTGGAGCCGGTGCTGCTTTCTCTCCATGTTTGAAAAAGCACTTGTCTCCTCTTCTGCAAGTACCTTGTTGATCATACCTGCATGGGGTCCTTGCCATCTCTTCCTTAGTCATACGCTTCTTCTCCTTATTTGTACTCTTATCCCTTGACTCATTCCGCTCCCGAGATGGTTGACGCTTCTTGGAAGGGTCACGTTTGGGCTTCTCATGCTTGAACTTGCACTCCTTCCCTTCGGCACACTTACCCTCCAAAAAGGCCCAGCAAATTCCTTTCTCCCGGGAGGTCGGTCGTCCACGCGATGGTGAACGCTTTCGACGAGGATCGACGGTTGGGGCTGCATTCTTCTCATGTCGGTCACCTGGCTTGAGCCGATTTCGCTCAGCGATGCGCGACCGATTCTCTCGAAGGCGCTCACGATCTATCAGGTCCTTGATGCTTTGCAGTAGGAACTTGTAAGACCGGTGGTGATCACCTTCTTTTGCACGATCAAACAGATCGATGTCATACCTCAGGATTGTACTATTACGGATCTGCCTCAAAAGGATATCCCGGAGTACGTTTTCGTGCGGTGGTTCGGGCATACCGGCGATGGTAGCGTCCCAGCGGTTGATGAAGCGCTTCAAATCCGCCACGGTGTCGCCTACCTTCACCACATTGAGGAGGTCTTCAACCCTGTAAAGGCTACCTGCTTCTTCCGAGGTCATCCTTCCGAGGTCATCTTATCATCAAACATGAGAAGAATCATCCTTCCGCGAACCTGGATGCCTAGCTTTGCCTTCTCTTCTTTGTAATTGATGATCCGGTTTGCTAGATCACCCTTTGCACTTCTGGTCAATGCGGCCGCCAATTTGGTATCCAACGTTGTGAACTTTCCAGGGTTTGACAACCGCTCTTCCAAAACGTCTCTTTCATCCACGGTGTTGTAAACCTCCATCAACCAGTCCCAGGCCGCGTCTGGTTTGTCCGAACACGACTTGATTTCGTCCCTCACATGATGCTTCCATTGCCGATAGGTTTCGGGAGTTGGCATATCATTCAACTTGATATGATCTGCTTCCTTGACCTTTGGTTTCTCGTCTGATTCTCTTTGAGTGAGTGACGTGACCAGTTCAATCACCTGCTCAGAGGTGATGGCGCCTGATGAAGCTGGCTTGTGGGGCTCACGGATCGAAGGTGCAGGACTATGGAACACGTGTGTCGGTGTTTTGCCACCATCTGCAGTAGTGCCTCCGTACACTGGGAGCACTGGCTTGATTGGTGCAGCTGCCCCAGTTGGGGCATCACCAGTGAAGGTGGCTGTTGGCCTTTTAGGTCCAAACAAACCGCTCAGACGTGCACTAGCCTCTGCTGCAATGGTCTCTAAGGTACCTTTCTTTTCACGCTCGCCTTCCCTAGGTGTTTCGACCGGTGAAGCAACTACACTTGTAGGAACATACTCTGGCTCGCCAGTGATCTTGTTGTCTGCCCTTAGATCATCAATGATTTGTTGTAGGCGATAGTTGTCATTTTCTGCCTCTCAAATCACGCTGAAGTTTGAGCTCTCGTTCATCGAACTCTGCACGAAGTTTCACTACACCCTGTTCAGCACTTTCTGTGATTGCATTTACTGTTTGCTGACACTCAAGTGTAAGTTGTGTGCGGAGAGAATCCATCTCTGCCTTCTTTGCTTCAGCTTCCAATGCTCTGTCGTTTTCTAGCTTGAATATCCGTGCTTTGGCAGCGCTAAGCTCTGCTTGCAACTTATCGTAGCTAGACTGGGCTTGCCTTCTCACTGAACTAACCTCTTCATGATGTTTGCCTTCAACCTCAAGAATCGCCTGGTGGAACTTGGCTTTACCATGTCCATCCATTGCGCTAATACCTCCTTGTGTCTTCGTTCAGCCTCAGCAATTATAGCATCCTCGTTGCCATTGTACACTTGCTGGATGTTTTGCTGTACGAATTGGAAGTATGCCGTGACCGGGGCTGAACCCATGGGATCATCTAGATCTACATTGGGCTCAGTCGCGAGACCGGCTGGCGCGTCCATGGCTGTGGTTAGAGCACTACGGCTGATAACCTATAGAAACAGCCGTTCAGCTGCGAATCCTTCTTGGGCCGCGAGCTGCGAAGGTAGGTGCAATGACATCCTATACATATGTGCATGGTAAAAGTGTACATATTACATGGAGTGAAAATACAGGAGCCAACCACAGCGCAAAAAAAGTGACCCAAAACGCGGAGGTTGGATCGCCTCATTTTATAAACCTCACCCTGCCCATCGTATTTGTGCACACCCTCCCAGGGAAAAGATGGTAAACCCATTTTATAAACATTTTCACCTCCCAAAGCCCAGCGTATTTGTGCACACCCTCCCAGGGAAAACATGGTGAACCCATTTTGTAAACATGTTTCCCCCTCCCAAGGCCCATCGTATTTGTCCACACCCTCCCAGGAATTACATGGCAAACAATTTTATAAATAATTTTCCCTGCCAAGGCCCCTCGTATTTGTCCACACCCTCCAGCTCTTTGGCAGAGGGAATGGTTTGTAAAATAGTTTTCCCCTGCCAAAGACTGTCAAAACCCATTTTATAAACCTTTAATCATAAAATGGTTCTATTCTCTCACACCATTACTTGTTTTTAGAATGAGCAACCAACATCCAGCTGTCTCTATGTTAACAACAATTCACTGTTTATAAAAGGTACACAGGAGCCGACCTTTTTATGAAACGACGAGACAAGATGCATAGGTTTTTTTCAAAATTCCGATTTCCGGAAACATTGTGCTTTTTATGAAGTGAATCCTGGAAAAGTCATTTTATAGGTCACCAGGATCCCCATTTCATAAGGACCTGTGCAAGGGGGATGGAATGATCATCCGTTTAAAAAGAATTATACAAGCATAGACCCCGAACAGCTTCAATACGATTCGCTTTGACCAATATTAGTAAAAAATCGATTTCTTGGTAGGGCGTTTGCTTCATCAATGAACTTTTCCCCAAACAGTTTACTGTTGTGGTTCTATCTTAGAAAAAAAGCCGGCCAGACTCACTGGCCGCACCCCTGAACTCTGTCGCTGGGCTCTGTGGCTGGGCTCTGTGTCCAGGCCTTGTCCTCCTCTTGTCCTC